CTTGCTTTTTAACACGTTGGGATTTGACCTTTATTAATAAAACAAAACTGCAGCATGGCCACCGCTAACCAACTTTTAACCATGAAATCATACATAGAAATACTCAGAACCTTGACAAGATCGCACAGAACAGCACACTGGCCACCTCCACCGCTGATACAGGGGTGTGTGTATCCACCTGCTCACATAAACTGTGTCTGGAAAGTAAATTCCAGGTTCCAGTATTTTGTCAGATACTGAAGATTAAATAGAGTCTGCTGAAGGTGAGGCACAAAAAGGCCAGAGACTCAGTGAAGACAAAAATAAACATCAAGAAATACCAGTTTGTGAAGATAAATAGCAGTAAAAATGTAGAAAAGCTGGGGAGATGGGTAATCAGAGTCCTGTTTAGACAGAAAGATGGATGGACAGATGGATGGGGGCAGGATGTACAGGCAGACCATCCAGTGGTCTCCAAACTCATGGAAATGCTGTGCACAAGAGAATAAAACACCAGCCAGTTCTGAATTGTCCTAACAACTGTTAGCATGTTCAATTGCAACATTATGGCTAATGTGCCAATTCACCTCACTAAAAAGGGCCTCCCTCAGTGGTCCTCTAACTCACCAAACATCATGCCCTCCAGTGACCGACCTTTCCAATGACATGTCCAAAACAGCTAACTAGGACACTATTTGGTTATAAATTTTCACAGGTTAATTTATGGAAATAGTTTACCAAGCTGCTTCTTTCTTACCGTGGTCTGGAGGTTCTGATGAAATCTGTTTAACGTGGACAATACTGCTGATATATTAAATCCAGCATCATAACAACTCAAAAGCCACCACAGTACAATCAACAGACAGGTGGTGGCCTAGCAATTTAAAGGAAGCTTAATAACAAAACATATTTCAATTGAAGAGAAAAATAAGAAAGAATTATGAAGCAGGTTAAAATTCCAGTAATCAATGATGTGTACATGGTAAGGAAAATGAGTTTGAGGGTGATTTTCAGGTTTTGCCATCAGGCCCATTTATCATGAGAACAAAAATGAAAATACTGGTTTGAGTTTTCCTTTTAAAATTCATGACTCTACAAACAGATTCATCTTGGAGAGGATTAAACCAAGCTACTCCTTGGAGGCAAGGATTCTGGGGCTTCGTCTGACACACTTTGGACATGTTGCCAGGAGGGACGGGTCCTTGGAGAGGGACATCATGCTTGGGAGGGTGGAGGGACAGCGCAGGAGGGGAAGACCCTCTATGAGATGGATTGATTCTGTGACTGGGGTAATCGGGATGGGTGTGTCAGAGGCAGTGCGGTTGGCGCAGGACAGAGCAGGGTTTAGGGCTGTTGTACATAGGGTCGCTATGAGTCGCAAATGACTCGACGGCACATAACAACAACAACAACAACAACAAAGAGATTAACAAATTACTGTAAAATAAGCTAAGTTTATGTCAAAGTTTCTTCAATCAAATACGTTTTACTCTATTCTGCCAGTTGATACACCTCATTCTCATAAAATGTGAGAAATAGGTAATCCAGTATTTCTCAAATGTTACACCAAAGAGCTCGAGAAAGCTAAGGGTAATGTACAAAAGATTATCTGGAATAGGGGTAAATGGCAGAAGACCCCAGTGCTAAGAACGGTTTTTATATATCTGTACGTTCGGGTGACTGCAATAATGTGTTCGGATATGGTGCGCTGTGAGGATGGCACAGGGTTGGGAAGACTTTGATCTGTTGCACACAGGGCTCCTGTGAATAGAAGTCAAATGACACCTAACAACCACCTAAGGTCGATGACAAGCAAGAAAACTACAAGGGGCAATTCTACCCTGTCACATGGGAACACTACGCATCAGAAGTCAACTGGAAGGCACCATTAACAACAAAACAAAAAAAAGGTTGTGACAGAGTACTATGTGACCTGCAAACAAACCTAAAATAATACTATATGGGCTGACTCCTGAGCGAGAAGATTGGCAAACGCATTGTGAAGTGGACCCTGCAAGTGTCATGCCTCTGCAGCTTTCTAGTTTATTTTACCCATGGAAAAGTGGCATTATGTCCTATAACGCAGTGCTTATTTATCTATAAAAATAGTATCTTTTGTAGGAATTTTTCATCATTTCATACAAAATCTTCAGGTCAAATTGATACTCTGTGAAGTCAGTCATCCTTATTCCATGACTTTGGGTATTGAGAAATCTGGTTTTACCAATAACACATACAAAATAATCACCTTATTTCAACTTTAATTAGTTTTTATTTTATTTTTATTGGCTTGAAATCTAGGATTGCTAAATCTTCTATATCTTGATAATAATATTCCCCAAAATATTTGTGTTGACAGAAGATCCTAAGGATAGAAAAAGAAGTGGGAAGAATCAAGATGCACTTCTTAAAATAGCATTCAGTTTAGTGCACTCAGCAGAGCAGCTTGCCAGTAATGAACCATTGTTTCCTGTGACTGGAAACAACCTAAAAAAGTCCACAGTAGGGAGATTAAGTTAATTATGATAATACACTCAAGGGAATAAAATGAAACCACTAAAAAAGAAGTTTATAAAGCACAGAGATTGTTTTTGTTAAAAAAAATTGAGCAGAAATGCTATAGTTGATAGAGAACTTCAATTTCAAAAATTTAAAGTTACTTCTAAGAAAAAGAAAGGGTTTAAACCAAATGTTGCTAGTCTTTTTGTACAATCAAAACTGATTGTTTCCCCTCTTTTCTACTCTTATTTCTCAATTTTTCTCTACTTAGCATATTTGTTTTAAAGTAAGAGGGAAAAGAAACATTAAGGAATAATAATAAAATGTTGCTGGGTGATTTGATTAGTCTGGTATTAAAACTCCAGCCCTTTGTTCCCCAATTTGTCTCACAATTGAATCAACACTGTAGATTTCTGTCCCCTGGAGAGTTAATCTACAAACTAATTTTAATGTTTCCATGTAAATAAGACTTGACTGCATTCTTATTTTTGGTTATCAGTTATAAAAAAGAAAAAGATAGAAATATTCAAATTACTGTTTGCCAAATAGGGAGGAAGAAAGGAAATGGGAGGGAAGTAGATATTTTCCTTCTGTCTGGATGTGTGTTCAATTTATAGTGTGCTTCACTCATGCCACTAACAGAGAATAGCATCATCAACCACAATAAGAAATCAAAACCTTAAACTCACCACCATCGATTAAATTCTGATCCACACCAACCCTACAGAACTGACCAGAACTGTTACAGACAGGGCCCAACGCAGTAAATCTGTATGGAAGCTGACTGCTAGCTTGTTCTCCTGCACAGCATCTAGTGGGTTCAAACTACCAACTTTCCAGTTAAGTGTTTAACTACTGCGCCACCAGGGATCCCACAGTGAGAATAAATGTTTAAAACCTGGAAAGGAACATCATATGCTGAGCTTTCTAAAATACCCATCAGAAAACCCTACAACTGGTCACTGACGCTGTGCTCATGGTAAAGGCACTCTGGGGAATAAACAAGACCAACCAAACCAGGATCGTGACAGCAAACAGGTGACAGGACACTGACTATATGTAAGAGGAAAGGAATGTTCTGGAGAGATACTGGGGAACTCACAGAGTCCAAACTAAAGGTGAAGAAACAGTCTGGAATATAACCAGGAGATTTCCATCTAAGTGGTCAAGAACATATTCCAGTCACACCCAGATCAAACTCAACAGGAGACCCACTGCTTCCACTGGCTCCACCATCTCTGGAAAAAGCCCTCCCTCACCACCCACACCGCCCCGAGTGACCCTGCATTCTGCCATCACCCACCCTCAGTGCTTACACTTTGGAGTTGGAGAAAAAGACTGGTCATGTCACAGAGATTCCATTTTGGGAATACTTCAAAAAAAGATAAGCTAAATTTAAATACTAAATGAGAGAAGGTCATTGTCTACACTGGTCACCAAGGACCTCTGTTGTTGTTTACACTGTATCTTACAAGCCTAGCTCATCCAGTTGAAAACAAAGTAATAAATTTCCAGCCAATTCCCAGAAATGGGAGAATCTACAGGCCATTCTGCATCCTGTCACATGAAACATAGACGTCTACAGTTCAGCCAAGGAGATGAGGTCACTCAAAACTACACCAGGTAAAGCTAGGTAAATGTGGCAAATGGGATGAAGGAGGACTATGGTTAATTGTGCTCTTCTTCATTTCTCAAGGTCAAATTTATTTGATCTGGTGACTACCTATCAGTATCTTTCAAATACCAGAGGTGTTTATAAGCAACTCAATGTTATAAACAAAATTCATTCCTAATTATGTCTTTAAGTGAAATTTAGGAGTCAAATCAAGTGCATAGGGTTTTTGTGAACCTTATTTTAGTTAAGAAAAGGCTTGGAAGTCTTTTCAATGAGTTAGTAGATTTCATCAAGTAAAAGTGATTATGAGGAAAACTGTGGTGCTTAAGGGTTGGTTTAATCATTGCAAAGTGAGTACAATCTAACATTAAAGGGGAAGGAAGTCTAAGTCGAGGTCTGTAAGTCGAGGTAACATGATGATGGTGGATCACTTAGGAATTACATTACGTACATTATGGCTGTTGCAAATTATGATTTGTAGTTTATATACTGAAGTACTTACAAGTGGTGTCTTAAGTCACTTTCCTATTGCTTATTGAGATAAACCTTGAAAAGTATATAGATCTCTGCTTTAAAATTTAGAACACAATAAGATCTCTGCTTTAAAATTTAGAACACAATAAAAAACATACACACAACTTCTCATTTTATATCCTTTTCCAAAGCAAGCTGAGACAAGAAAAGCTATAGGTATACCGGTACCATACTCACACTTCACAAAGCCCTGCACTATGTGGACACTGCAACCTTAGGCTCTGAGCCTCTCCCAGCCTGACCTTCTAATTGATCTGTGGACTGAATAGACATCAGGAGAAGAAGTTGCAGATCTCTCTGCATGAACTCAAATGTACTCAAATGTATGTTTCAAGTAACCCACATAAATGGTATTGAAAAATTAACTACTCACTCCACAGTATCGGTCGTCATTAAATATCTGAGGGGGCAGGGGGTTTCCCTGAGCAGGTTTCTTTTCTGGAGGGACATTTTTGTACATCCACTGCCTCTGTTCTTCTGACATTGTGATGTCCACCTCTTCAAACTCTATCTTGTTGGCTTCCAGAAATCGAACCACATCTTGCTGCTTCTTTTTTATCTGAAAAGAGGACAAAGAAAGAGAAACGCTCATCAGAAATAATATGTCTGTATTCCCAAATTGAACTCCAGTTTATTTTTCCTTGTCAGAAATCACTGATACAAAATCAGAGGTAAAGTATGCAGGCATCGGACACTATCCACTTTGAAGATGTCCAGAAAGAAAGGACTCGAGTTCCAGCACAGTGATTTCTTCACCGAGATTGCCCACCACTCTCAGAGCAACTCAGGTTCCCTGAACAGAAGAGACCATGAAAGGAGATTTATTTAATTCTCACTAGGCCATAACTCACACTTCTTCTCATCCCCAGGAAGCTGACATTTACCATCATGAACGCTCCCTCAGCCCCAAACCATTTCAAAACCATGTAAAGCCATCTCAGATGCCGACATTTCATTGATCTTCAGAAGCAATAGCATTTCAACATTTTTATTCCTTCTGCAGCCTCTTTCAGGTATTCCACAGCTGTAGCCAATGTCATGAAGACATCCTTTCATCAACTCACTCAAGAAAAATATTCTCCACCTCTAAAGAGAGAGTAAACAACCCACAACATCTTACTCTGGTTTCTTAATGCTTTTTATTCCACTGGCACTATGGGACAGGTGTGTTCCTGAAAACCGCAAAAATACCCTGTTTTCAAAGTTTACATATTTTATTAAGTCAATGGTGTATATTAAATAACTAAAGTACTCTGGTGTATAGTGCAAAATGTGTCAGGCTGCTAAACAAAAAGTCAGTGGTTTTAATCCACCATCTGTTTGTTGGGAAAATTACGTGGTGGCCTAGGACTCGGCGCTCTCACCGCCGTGGCCCCAGTTCGATTCCAGTTAGGGAATCATGTTAGATATAAAAAAAAGAGTGCAAAGGTGCGAGGGAGAAAAACAAAGAAAGAAATTGGTCCCAAGAAACAAACGGGCCTTTATTGTGCGGTCTGAGAGGGGTGCCATGTGACCTGGACGCATGGCATGCAGAAAGGATCAAAATGGCACACAGGCAGGTCAGGGGGATTCCTTTTTATAGGGGTCCTGGCAAGGATTAAGATGGTACTTCTTAGAATTTGGCATGTTAATTAAGTTAGGTTTTAGCTTTTTTAAATCAAGCTCAGTCTCTTATCAGGATCTATTGTCTGGTCTGGTCTTTGATATGACCAGCTTAGGTGTTATCAAGTTTCTCAGGAAGTGATCAAGCTGGGGGGGGGGGAGGGACTGCCATAGAAAGATGGGCAATCTCCTCCCTTGAGATTAGTCTCTTAAAACACATTAGAGGATCAGCTATGAGTCAGTTCTAACTCCACAGCAATGTGCTGAGTTTCTCCTGTAAAGAAGTACAGTTTCTGAAACCAGATGGGGGGTTGTGACAAGTTATACTTAAGGTCAATGGGTTTGCTGATGTTTGGGGGTGGTTTACTGAGTTGTGTGTTGGTGAGGCTAACTGCTCCTGTTAATTTATGGCCTCAGACCTGATAGTGGGTCATCATCAGGCAAAACAAAATCTCACAGCAGTCAGTTTGGTTTTCGGTTTTATCAAATAATGCTGATGGACAGCAATATCAAGTGTCTTAAAAGGCATGTAAACCATGAGAAAACAAACTTGGAGTTTTGGGGGATTTTTCAAGGTAATTCTGGGAAATTTGCTTAAGAACAAACCTAAGTGGTAAAATAAATCTGGCAATAGCCAGAGAATACAATCATTCTGAGAGGTCAAGAGGCCATTCATCTTGGAAAAAACACATGCTATGTTTGAAGAATATTGCTGTTGTTGTTATGTGCCTTCGAGTCGTTTGCGACTCATAGCGACCCTATGTACAACAGCCCTAAACCCTGCTCTATCCTGTACCAATCGCACTGCCTCTGACACACCCATCCCGATTACCCCAGTCACTGAATCAATCCATCTCATAGAGGGTCTTCCCCACCTGCACTGTCCCTCCACCCTCCCAAGCATGATGTCCCTCTACAAGGACCCGCCCCTCCTTGCAACATGCCCAAAGTATGTCAGACAAAGCCCCAGAATCCTTGCCTCCAAGAAGTAGCCTGGTTTAACCCTCTCTAGGATGAATCTGTTTGTTTTCTTGGCAGTCCATGGTACAGTCAATACTCTTCTCCAGCACCACAGCACAAAGACATCAATTCTCCTTCTCTCCACAAATCTTTTCCTCTCTCTCTGAAATGCTTCAACGCAACCTATCTCTGGGATTGCAAATGTTCTATACCATTCAGTAAAAGAGCTGATCGATGAGCTGGGACTTCTGAGATGGTATGGGAGTGTGGCCAAAAAGGACAATCTAGTAGAACAGGACATTCTTAAACTCAGTACTACTGAGATAATTACTACGTAGTTAGGATACACTGATCAATTTGATACTGGTTTTGTGTCAATTTTCTTAGGTCATTTCTCATGCTTGAGGATATTATTTTTTTCTCTGTGAGAAAAAATTTTATAAATGTGGGAGTATTACTTTGAAAACTACAGCTTACAATAAAAGTGCCATTCTACTTAATTTTCCCTTAAAGCCCTGCAAGGTAGATTTTATCATTTCTGCTTTATAGAAAAGGAAACTGAGAAGGTCAAATGTTGTTAGCTATTTGGACCAAGGTCTTACAGTTAACGTGTGTTCCTGCCAAATCAATCATGTCACTCTGCTGTTCAAAATCTTCCTGTGGCAGCTCCCACTACTCTTCAGATAGCAGAAACACTTCTTAATTCAATGCTCTTGCTTTTTCTTAATTCTGGAAATTGTAAAAAGGAACACACAACCAAAAAATACTTACAATTCTGTTTAAACAACCACTGTCAAAATTTTATTAGTGGAAAGTAACTTATTTGTGAAGCTCCACAGCATGCCGGAAACATAATTTCAAGCATGTTATAGAAAGTTATGATAAGGAAACTGGTATATGGTCAAACTTTAATTTTGCCATATAACAGAAATACACACAAGCACTTCTATCCCAAAATATGTACTTAAAAATTTGCATTCTTAATATACACAGCTTCCTTATTTCCCCACTTGCTTGCAACATATACATGGCTGCACGCGCACGCACACACACACATGCACACCCATATCCTATTTATGACTGGATTCCAATCTCCTATGCTGAATTGAGACATGAACTTAATTTTATATTAGGAAGACTTAATAATTCACAGGAACACAAATACATCCTGCCCTTGTCACAAAAAATCTTTATAAGAACTGTCCCTATCATTAAACATTTTTCAGAATTACAAATTTTATTGTCTTCCTGGAAATTCCATCATTGAGATCATTAATCTAGTTCTGGACATTGAGAAGATCTCTCATTTTCACCACTAGAAATAACACTGCGTTGTGAGCATCTTTATATACATCCCTTAACCCTGTTTTAGGAGAAACTTGCATGAAGGAAACCCAAGTGTGAAAAGGCAAGGATATTGTTCTGGCTCCATTAGTAACTGGGCTGAATTGCTTTTTAAACCGCTTTACATGCCCATTAAAAATGTCTCAAAGTGCCTATGTCCCAACTTCTCCATAAAGTCAATCCTTGAAATTTAAAATCCACATGAATCATTACCACTTTAGAAATGTTTGGAAAATTAGCTAGTACTACCACAAATTGCACAAATAAACAAAGTCAAAGAAATCTAATCAGGAGAAGGAAGTATTCAAGCAGATGTCTGTGGCACCAGCATCAGGAAGGAGGATGAGTCACCTCACCAAGGGCTGTTTATGAGTCTGGAGCTATAGGAGTGACAGCAGGGTAATGACCATAAGATATGGAGGTTCAATGGGCAGGATTCCAACTAATAAACACTTCTCATGTGGCAATAGGTAGGTCTTAAAGGCACTTTACGTGTTGGACATAAACCCAGGGCTCAGATACAATTGCACATATAGCCAGTCCTTTGAAGCAAAAACTTCCTACTCATGTTTCAGCTTTTTAAAAATGAAATATATCTTTTTTTATCCCCATACTTTTTCTTTTTTATTATTAATGACTTTTTAATGCAACATATCTATTTTTAAAAGCATGTTCTTTCCATTTTATTCCCCCCATTCATTCATTGTTATACATTTTCCTCCGTGTCCACCCCACGCCCTGTTCATTTTTGTCTTTGAAGAAAAAAAAAATTCTTCCATTGTTATACAATCCTTTACCCCAGTACACAGTCCACTTTAATATGCATTTCATTTTCTTTAATCTTGTGATGAAAACTAGTTTTATATTCCTTGTAAACAGTTCTCTCCCTCCGTTTCAATGCAGTGTACATTATTTGTCCCCTCTTTTCTTAGGTTCCTCTCAACCCCAATGTCAGTCCCATTTTACAACAGTGGCTCTATGCAATATTTGTCCTTTTATGACTGAGATGTTTTGCTCAGTATAATGTACTCCAGGGTTACCCATTTTGTATAATATTTCATGTGTTCTTTGTTTTTCAGTGCAGCATAGTATTCCATTGTGTGAATCGACCACAGCTGCTCTATCCATTTGTTTGTTCATGGGCACCTGGATTGTTTCCAACTCTGCTATTATGAACAAAGCCACAATAAACATGGGTGATAGGATCTTCAACCAGTAAAAAAGGAGCTGAATAAATGGAAGCATAGGAGAAAACTGTGGGAATAGTCAATGCTTTCATACAATGTAACCACAGTTCCATGGCACCTGCAACTTTATTTTTTTAACTTTGAAGCTTAGGCAAACTACATTAGCTATTCAAATAATAGACAAGCTCCCTTCTTAAAAGAAGTTTGGTTTTGTTTAGTTTAATCATATTCTCTTGCTGTTTTTCCAAAAGCCCTTGCAATTAGAAGTGATCACATGACACAGCTCTGGCCATAAAGTCACACACATTACTGGAAGAGGCTTGACTTCTGAAAAGCCAAGTTCCTTGTGCACTTGTCCCCAACTCCTACCGTCTTTGCAGAAATGCACAAGTGATGCCTGGAAGGATGACCATCACTTTGCAAATCTGAAAACAAGTACCATTATGCTAAAGATGGTCAAGCAGAA